TCAACCTGGCCGATAAAGACTGGCTGACCGAAAGATTCCTCGCCATGCACCTGGGCGAGGGTATCGCCGGACACTGAGCTGACAGGGGCGGGCGGCTCAAAATGCTGATTAGACCGACGACAGTCGACGACCAGGCGCTGCCGACCGCCCCCCTTCTTAACAAAGAAGCAATCCACCACCTCGGTGGCTCGTTCGAGCGTCAGCTCAACTACGCCAGCCTGGACTAGTCGCTGAATGAATTCGCCGTATAGGGCAGGAGAGCGGAGGCGGGGATCACCGTAGGGCCGAAGGGGGCCCGAGTCCTTTAATTTCGTGCGAGCCACGTCGATGGGCAAGACTTGCGACTCAACAAAGCGTGCAACAGTTCTTTCCCCGCCGGATCCCCAGAGCCGAGCGAGCGGGGTCGGGATAGACCCTGCTGCCGGGAGGGACACGCGGGAGGCTTCATAGCCCACGGGGCCCCCCCCTGCGTCGTAGGGGAGGCCGAGGCGCAGCGCCTGGAGGGCTGCCGCCTGCGAAAGATCATCCGGGGGAGGCCCCAGGAAAGAGACAGAGGATTCAACATGCTCGAGCATACGCTGCTGCCCGCGGCTCAGATCAGCTGGCACAGGTACCCCATCACGTCGGCCGTACAGCGTGTTGAGACCCTCCAAGCACCGAAGAACGTCGGCGTGATGACGCTGCCGACGGCCGACTCTCTGCCGGCAACCCCGTGAGAGCCCAGGTGCAGGTGGCCCCGACGAGGCGAGAAGCTCCGTGGGGAAGGGCAGCAGATCCCTTCCCACGTTCCTGTCAAAATCTCCCGGCGGCACGACGGCTTGCCGAGCTTCCCCAGTCATGTTTGGTTCCCCCCCGCCCGACCTGAGGGACGTCAGGGGGGGCGGTCGAGCATCACCCCTGGCCCAGCCGCTGGCCCTGCTTCCGCCGGCCCAGCGACTTCCAGGCCGCGCGCGCCTTCAGGCGGCTCTTGGTCAGCGAGGCGGCGCGCTCCAGCTCCAGCCTGGCGACCTCGAGGAGCGTGGGCGACACCATGAGCCCTGTCTCGGCCCGGGCGGTGGCGCCGAAGGCGGCCTGCTCGTCGGCGGTGAGCCTCCCCCTGGGCGAGCCCGCCGTCCTCCCGCACAGCTCGTCACCGTAACAGTACTCGATCGTCTGCAGCCGGCGGGTCATCATCTCCACTCCTCGGGAAATGGACATGTACTTCTGACCGTGCTGGGGCGTCGCCTCCAGGTAGCTGATCACGCTGGCGCACTCCTCCATGCCACCCTGAGTGACCTGCGGGCCGCACAGCTTCTCCAAGTGCTCGACGTGGGACTCGAGCGGGCGGCCTTCGCCCGCGAGGTGCTCGAGGCACCGCCTGGTCGCCCGCGGCGCGATGGAGTCGGGGAGGTGCTCTCGGCGCCAGCTCTCGAAGAGGTTCTCGAGCGTCCGAGGAGGCTTGCCCGCGCGATCGAGGCGGCCCGGCAGCAGGCGGCCCTCCACCGCCCCGTCGCCGAAGTCCGACTCGTCGACGGAAACGACCCACTCGACGGAGAACGACGACCCATCTGCGTATGGAGTGACTCCGCCGCCCGCGGCCGGTACAGCCGCCGCGGCCGCGCCTCCTCGGCGCTTCATCTCGCCCGGCAGGGGCGCGGGCGCCAGGGCGGCGGGTCCCGCGGCAGGCAACGGGGCATCCGCCGGCACGACGACCCAGCCCCCGCCCGGCGGCGCGCCGGCGGCGGGCAGCCCGGCCCACGCGGCCCCGACAGCGGCCACCGGCGCTCCAGGCGCAGCCCAGGGCTGTGCCTCGAGGACGGGCGCCTGCCCGGCCTCGCCGGGGCGGCGCCATACTGAGCAGCGCCGAGCCTCAGCCTGGGCGTCGGGGAGCCAGGCCGCCTCCCCCGCCGCGATCGGGGGACTCGTGGAGCGGTGGGCCCGCTCGACGCCCGTAGGCCGAGGGGCCAGGGCGGGCGCCCACCTCACCTCTGAGGGACGCCAGCTGATCCTCCCCTTCCCGCGCGGGCCCGGCGCCGGCGGCACCAGCAGCCATCGCCCCACCTTCCGCGGTCGTCGAGCGCAATGCCGATCACCTGCGTCGCCACGGCCGCTCTCCAGGCCGCTCCCGCCGTCGGGGCCCCGGGCTCCGCGGGGGAGGCGAGCCGGCTCCCGCTGCGAGCACTGGGGAGCCGGCGCCCCCGGGCAGGCCGGGCCGGGCAGCACCGCGGGGTGGGCGCACTGCCAGACCGGGCACACCGGCGCCGGCGGCGGCGGCGGCGGGGGCGCTCGTCTCAACCAGGAGGCCACATCATGCGAGAGCAGGGTGATGGCTCCGACCGCCCACGGGCGCATCATGCCCCGTGGGGAAAAAGCTTGAGCGAATACGTCAACGGAAATCGCAGACGGGCGGCCCGCAACGCTTCCAAAGGAGCAACCCTGTTCGAAGAACGACTAAGGAGGAGCAGGAGAAAGAGGAGGAGGAGGAGGAGGAGGAGGCAGGCTGAGGCTGAGGCTGTGACTGCGACTGCCGTTGCCGCTGCGACTGTCATCGCGAATGCGACTACGACTGCGAGAACAGCAGAATTCGACAACTGGATTTTCATCTGAATCTTAAGGGGAATGCTTTCAGATATGCTTCTACACATCGCTGTTAGGTTGCTTTGCCGGGATAATTGAATGTCATTTTAAACCCTTTTGGGGCCGTCCTGGGGCCCTCTTGGGCGTCCTGGGAACCCGGAAACCATGCTCCCGGAGAAAATTCTGGGAACATGATTTCGAACGAGGCCCTCTTGGGCCTCCCTGAGGCCGTCTTGGGGGCCTCCTGGGCCGGCTTTGGGGCCTTTGGGGCCGTCTTGGGCTGTCTTGGGGCTCCTCGGGGGCCACTCTGAGGACGAAGCAAGCGAGTATCCTGAAATTGTACGTTTTACACGAGGAATGGGTAAAGTTTTGCCTATTGAAGGCCCTCTTGGGGCCCTCGTCGGCCATCTTCAAGCCATCTCGGACCCTCTTGAGGCGCTCTTGGACGTCTTGGGGCCCTCTGGGGCCTCGATGAGGCTGTCTTGTGTGCCTCTTGGGCTGTCACGCGGGCAGCGTCGCCGCCGTCGGCGTGGCCGTCGTCGTCGCCGTCGATCGTCGATCGGCGCCGTCGACTATTGTCATCGTCGTCGATCGTCGTCGTCGTCGGTCGTCGACCGTCGTCGATCGTCGTCGTCGTCGTCGTCATCGTCGTCGTCGTCGTCGTCGTCGTCGTCAGTCACCGTCGCCGGTCGTCGTCGCCGATCGTCGATCGCCCTCGAGCCTCCTCCTCTCTCCCCCCGTCCTCCCCTCCACTCCTCCTCCCTGCCTCCTCCTCCTCCTCCTTCTCCTCTTCCTCCTCCTCCTCCTCCTCCTCCTCCTCCTCCTCCTCCTCCTTCGCCCTCTCCGTCTCCTCCGCGCGGAAGAAATCCAACAACATCTCACGCAAATCAACGAACTGTGGCCATCCGGGCCTTTTTGAAGGTCCTTTTAGGGCCCTTTTGGGGCCGTCCTGGGGCCCTCTTGGGCGTCCTAGAAAACCGGAAATCATGTTCCCGGAGAGGCTTCTGGGAACATGATTTCGAACGAGGCCCTCTTGGGCCTTCCTGAGGCCGTCTTGGGGGCCTCCTGGGCCGGCTTTGGGGCCCCTTGGGCCGTCTTTGGGGGGTTCCGTGAGCCTCACAGGACGACCCGTTTGGGCCGTCGTGGGCCCTCTTGGGTCTCTCTTGGGCTGTCTTGGGGCTCGGGGGCGTCTGGGGCACTGTGAGGACCAAGCAAACGAGTATGCTGAAAACGCATGCTTTACGAATGGGAATGGCCCAGTGTTTGCCTCTTGAAGACCCTCTTGGGGCCCTCTTCGGCCATCTTCAAGCCATCTCTGGCGCTGTTGGGGCGCTCTTGAGCGTCTTGGGGCCCTCTTGGGCCTCGCTGAGGCTGTCTTGTGGGTCTCTTGGGCTGTCTTTGGGGCCTCATGGGCCGTCTTGGGCGGGTTCGTGGACCCCACAGGACGCCCGGGGCGGCCATGCCAACCGGTGGCACCACCACACCCCCGCCCCCGGGCCCCGTCCGTCTGTCCTAGTGCTCCTCTCCAAACCCTCGTTCCCTAACCTCCCGATCATGTTCCCGGACCCTCGTCCCTTCCCCCCAGAGCACCGCAGCAGTAGGAAAGCGTTCCGAAATGGTGAGAAATCATGTTCCCGGAAAGCGTTCAATAATATGAATCGTACTTCGTCCAAGGCGCCTCGGAAGGCGCAGAATACTCCTCCAAGGCGCGGAATCATGTTCCCGGACCGCCTTCCGGGAACATGATGGGGACGATCTCCTGAGGGCCTCCAGTGGGCCTCTTGGGGGCCTCTCGGAGGCCTGTTGGGCTCTCCTGGAGGCGTCTTGGGGCGCGCTCAGGGCCATTTTTGGGCATCTTTTTTTTTGTTGCAACACATCGTACATGAAGCAGCTCATGTGCCTGGGTCATCCCTCGTGGATCGAGGCCGACCGCCATACGTCTCCAGGTGCTGTCGGGAGCCAAGGCCGCCTCCCTGCGGCAGGGAGAGGGCAGCGCCGCTCATGACTGATCGGCCGCCAAGCGCTGCAATTGCCGGCTACACGCAAGGAGTGACCGTAGGCAAGAGTGACCTTTGCTGTGCACGGCTTGCCAGCTTGCCGGTCGTTACACGTGAGGCGACAGGAGCGGCCTGCGTGCCTGGGTTTGGCCGTCCCGCGCCTGCCGAAAGCCGCGTTCCAAGGTCATTCTGGCGCAGGGTCACTCCTACATGCAGCCGATGTTGTGGTTATGCGACCCACCAGCGATGCCCGTGGCGAAGAGAAAAAGTACGATCAGGAGATCGCCATCGTCTCGTTCGCGAGGGGTGCGCCAGGCAGGCCATTGGGCAGCTTGCACGGGTGCCGTGGCGGTGAGACTGCCGAGCATCCCAGGCGCGCGCAACTCATGGCTACAAGAGCGCGCAACCTCGCCATCCCACCTTACATCTCCTGCCTCCCCTGACCTTCCCCTCCCATTGGCCAGCGCAGATTGCTAGATCTGGCCAAACCACCCTGCCAGGCAGCATTGAAACACTCAAACCATATATAGAACCACCGTCGCGCATCCAAGAAGCTCCACGCTCTACCCAAAGCACCCTGGCATGTGACACTCTGCAGCTGTGGACGGTGGAGGCACGCGTGGTGCAAGTACAGTGGAAGCACAAGTCCTGCATGAACACTCGAGGAACTGAGACTGCCTCCGCCATCCATGTGTGCGAGGCGAGCTGCTTACTTTCAAAATGGAACCGGTGCTGCTCGCTGCCAGACGCAATCTTGCCTCAGCGATGCTGGTCGCACTGTCCCAACATCCTCTCGTAACATCCCTGTCCTGGATTGACGTCGCCTCGGTCCGCATATGGAGTACGCCCACCGACCAGCACCTTTAAACTGCGAGCAACATACAAGCATATTAAACCTTCGGTCTTGAAAGAGAGCGGCAGCAATATTGCGGCACATGGCTGCGCTCCACGCAGCCCGTCCAGATGGAGGCCGACAGAGAGCAAGAGAGAGAACGAGGAATATAGATATACAGCGAGAACAGATCGCATGGCCTTGCTTTTGAGGTTGCCATGCCATGGTGCTCACAAGACTGCGCAAGTCCTGTGGCCATTTTTGGGCATCTTGGGGGCCTCTTGGGGGCCTCCAGGGAGGCTCTTGCGGGCCTGTTTGGGGCCTCTTGGGGCCTCGCGGGGCCCTCTTGGGGCCCGCTTAGGCAATCTTGAAGCCCTGTCGGGGCTCTCCTGGAACCGTCTTGGGCGGCTCCTGGGCCATCTTGGGGCTCTCCTGGGCCGTCTTGGGACGATTTTGGGGGTCTCTTGGGCCGTCTTGGGGCGGTCTTGGGGGCCTCTTCGGCCGTCTTGGAGCGGTTTTGGAAGACTCTTGGACGGTCTTGGAGCGTCGGAACCCTGAAAAAGCGAGAAGGCCAAAAGCCTAGAAAAAAAACAATAAAAATCAACGATTTTGGCTTGTCGCGGCTCTCTTGGGAGGCCTCTTGGGATGCCTTCGGGGCCTCATGGAGCTCTCTTGGAACGTCTTCGGGGCTTCCTGACCATTCCTGAGGCTATCTATACGCGTCTTGGAGCGTTCGCGGGCCGTTTTCGGCGGTCTCGATCTGTTCCTGGCGGTCCCAGGGGCCTCCCCGGGCCGCCCCCGGGCCCGACTCCGATATATGTATTTAAATGATAGGATATTATAGTATAGTATATGTATATATATATGTTATAGTATATGTATTGGATATGTATAATGTAATATGTATATGTATATGTATATGCATTTGTACATGTACATGTATATGTATATGTATATGTATATGTATATGTGTGTATGTGTATTTGTATATGTATATGTATATGTATATGTATATGTGTGTGTATGTGCATTTGTATTTGTATTTGTATATGTATATGTATGTATGTATATGCACGTATGTATATGTATGTATGTATGCATGCATGCATGTATGTATATGTATATATATAAAAATATGGAAACATACGTAAGACATGTAGGATTGTGTACACAGGAGAAGGACAAGCTATAGAAACATACGTACGTCGTCCAAGGCGCCTCGGAAAAAAAAAAAAAAAAAAAAAAAAAAAAAAAAAAAAAAAAAAAAAAAAAAAATATAAAAATAAATAAAATAAAAAAAAAAAAAAAAAAAAAAAAAAAAAAAAAAAATGAACAAATATAATCAAAAAACAAGAAAAAAAAAAAAAAAAAAACACAAAACTAAAGAAAAAGGCGCCTCGGAAGGCGCAGAATACTCCTCCAAGGCGCGGAATCATGTTCCCGGACCGCCTTCCGGGAACATGATGGGGACGACCTCCTGAGGGCCTCCAGTGGGCCTCTTGGGGGCCTCTCGGAGGCCTGTGGGGTTCTCCTGGAAACGTCTTGGGGCGCGCTCAGGGCAATTTTTGGGACTGGGGGCCTCTCGGGGGCCTCCAGGGAGGCTCTTGGGGGCCTCTTTGGGGCCTCTTGGGGCCTCGCAGGGCCCTCTTGGGGCCCGCTGGGCTCGCTTAGGCAGTCTTGAAGCCCTGTCGGGGCTCTCCTGGAACCGTTTTGGGCGGCTCCTGGGCCATCTTGGGGCTCTCCTGGGCCGTCTTGGGACGATTTTGGGGGTCTCTTGGGCCGTCTTGGGGCGGTCTTGGGGGCCTCTTCGGCCATCTTGGAGCGGTTTTGGGAGACTCTTGGACGGCCTGCCTCTCTCTTTTTTTTTTTCTTCTCTCTCTCTCTCTCTCTCTCTGTATGTATATATATATATACATACACACATATATATATATACATACATAGTATATGTACACATGCATACATACGTACATACATACATACATACATACATACATACATACATATACATATATGTATTTATACACATATACGTACATGCACATATGTACATGTACATATATGTACATATATATACGGAAGAATTTGAAACACGTGGAAGGAAGTGGCACGAGTCGGGCGGGCTTGGGGGAGGGGTATATGAATACACATATATATATATATATATGTATATGTATATATACATATATTTATACACATATGCATATAGACATATACACGTAATACATGTAGGATTGTGTGCACAGGAGAAGGACAATCTATAGAAACAGACGTACGTCGTCCAAGGCGCCTCGGAAGGCGCCTCGGAAAGCGCAGAATACTCCTCCAAGGCGCGGAATCATGTTCCCGGACCGCCTTCCGGGAACATAGCTCCACCGAGGGCCTCAATGGCTGCGTTCGCGTGGCGGCACCGCACCCATTTCGGCACACCCCTCACACGTTTCGTGGCCCCATAAGGAGCTCCGTCGGGCCCCCAGTTGCGGTCGGGGCTGCGGCCCCGGGCCCCCCGGGCCCGATGCGGCGTTATATGTAGAATGTGTATGTATATATATATATATATATATATTATTTCCCAAGGTTCACCGAGAGCTCACAAGTCCATCAGCGCAGTGCCCGGTGATGCATCACCGTCTTAATCGGCCAACTGCTTTGCCAGAAGCTGTAATGGCAAGAGCGGCGGAGAGGGGGCGAGACCGACCCGCTCGCTGGGCCTCCAGCCTCGCTGCAGCATCGAAGGTGTCCAATTCCTCCACGATGTTGTTGGATAACTTAAAACTTCGGACATTCGAAAAGCTTCGGTGTGCATTTCGTGCGCCTCAGAACCGATAGGTGCGCAATCGCCTGGAGTGTTGAACTGAATACGGTTTTGCAGACCGGGCATGCCAGACCGAGCATCGCATCTGAAACCATGCCTCGCTCGTCTGTGAGACAGCAGAGCCTTCTGCGAATGAAAAGCAGGCGGGCCGACTATACCTATACCTATATATATATAGTATGTATTAATTCCTCGAGGCTTGGATCGAATCCGCCGCAATATGTTATAATGTGAAAGGTAACGTGGCTGAGGCGCTAACGTATGTAGCGACCCACGGCCCTTCCAGTGGAAGTGAAAGCCTGCCCAACAGCCAGCGCGTGTGAATGACCGCTGCGGCGGGCCTCGCGACGCAGATCGTTGTCGATACTGTCAAGGCGAGAATACTCGGATCGGAACTGATAGCCTTACGAACGACGCTGGCCTGGCGCATATGGCTGCCCAGCATCGGGTACGACGAGAATCGCACAGATAAGCAAGTCATCGAAGACGAGATCGGTACCTCGTGCCGCAGACTTGGCACGCGCGTGCGACCGCAATGCCCTGTCCGAGGCGAAGGCGCAATCACACAAATCACACTTGAAAGATGCAATTTGGGAGCTGGCCGGAGGGAGAAAAGGAGTGCCAAGGTCGCACACCGACTCAATGAAAAATATAAAATTGACAGCGTGAGACCAGCGAGCTGGAGACTCGACAATGAATTGAACCCACGGGGCGAAAGACTCTGAAGGGTCAGGCAGTCCAGAGCACAGAGCCGACATCCGCCACAAACATTGCAGGTCCTCCAGCACAGGCTGCACCCAAGGGAGGCGAGGCAAAGGAGGGGAAGGAGCGAGAAGTGAGTGTAGCTCGGTGGATCCGCCGGCCCCGGCCCCCTTGTGGGGCCACCAGGCTGTAGGCCGAAGCTTCGCAGTTTCCTGTGCCAGTTGCAGCTTCCAGTTTCCACTGTAACAGTTCTGTTTCTTGCTGCTTAGTGTTCCTTGTTGATGGACCGCGCGATGGGGGGGGAGGCCCAAACGGGCAGGTTTAGCACGCCCTGAGCGTGTGCTCTGAATTGCTGGGGTGGGTAAAAATTGGCACCTCTCACGCAGATCGGCGGGGTCAGGACCCAACCAGGGCCACGATCCCTCGTAAATTACGCTGCGCCCGCGCTCCCAGGGCCACGATCCCTCATAAGTTACATTGGGGTCGCGCTCCCAGGGCCCCGACTCATTGTAAATTACGCTGCGTCCGCGCTCCCAGGGCCACGATCCCTCGTAAATTACGCTGCGTGCGAGGCCCCGATCCCTCGTATTCTTTGCTGCGCCCGCGCTCCAAGGGCTACGATCCCTCGTAAATTACACTGCGTCCGAGCTCCCAAGGCCCCGACCCCCGGTAAATTTCGCTGTGCCCGCGCTCCGAGGACCACGTTCCCTTGCAAATTACGCGTGGTCCGCGCTCCCAACGCCACGATCCCTCGTACATTACGCCGCGTCCGCGCTCCCAGGGCCTCCTGGGGCATGCTGGGGCGCCTAGGTTCCTCAAGTTTTGCCAAACGAGCGTTTCGCTCGAGATGTCCTCCATGTTCTGGCGCGGGGGGCGCACCATCCTCGAGCGGGCACGCAAAAACTCATCACTGTCACCTTATATCCTGGAAAAAACAAGCATTTCGCTCGAGACATCCTCAACACATTCTGAAACAAAACAAGCGTTTTGCTCGAGACATCCTCAAATTTTAATCAGCCGGCCCACCTCGATCTCGATATTCATCAGGGAAAGAATCCGCCGACCACCTCAGTTGAGGCACCAGGGACAGGATTACAAACTAAAAGAGAACCCTCTGTTTCGGTTCGGCGTCCTTCCCCCTCCCCTCTTGCTCATACATTGAAATGTGGGGATATTTATTTGGACTCGGCTTGACCGCACAGGCCGCCTCCCCGCACATCTCTTCAGTCCCTGCCGATGGAGCCTCCCTCAATGCAGATACCTGTAGCACACATTACGCCTGAAAGTTTGGATTCCGAGCTGAGAAAGATCGCCTGTCCCCTGCAGGGCAGGGAACACAACAAGTGCCAGCTGGAGACCAGACACTTCGGCGGAGAAAGAATCGGTTGCATTGGGTTCCCACGTCCCCCCGAAAGCCGCGACCTCCCAGTCGCCGCTCCCGTGGGAGACACGGAGAGTGAACCCGCCCGCGCATCGTCCGCACCCGCGCCACCCGCCGTCTGACTGGGCTAAAAACATGATCGACCCACGAACCCGGAAAGGAATATAGAAATGTAAGGCATGGCAACGTTTCAAAAACACTTGATTGGGCGACGGGCAAATGCAATGCTGAATGTATCGATCTTGATGTATTGTGCCGAAGGCTGTGCTGTGCTACGCCGTGCTGAACTGCGATGTTCCATGCCGCGATTGTGCTCTATATAGCGTTGTGGATCGAGTCCTCCCTGGCATCCGAGTCCTGACCGAACTGATCTGGATCTTAAGCTCGAGCTGCCTGAGCAGATGGTAGCTGCCCCAGAACTAATCGACAGGGGGACATGCCAGGAGGACGCGCTGCAGAACTTCCCAAGGGACGCGCCAGGCGACGTGCCAGGCGACGTGCCATGGGCACGCACCGCGGGACGTGCCAAGGGGACGCGCTACGGAACGTGCCAGTGGACGTGCACCGCGCGACGTGCCAGGGGGACTCGCCACGGGACGCTCCGCGGAACGTGCCAGGCAACATGCCAGGCTGCAATGCTAAGGATACTTATCGATATTGATGTACCGTGCCGAGGGCTGTTCTGTGCCTGGGCGACCTGGACACGTGAAAACACGCGTTTCGCTCAAGACGTTCTCAGCACATCCTGATGCTAGGCATCTGTCTGGGCAACCTGGACACGTGCAAAGAAGCGTCTCGATCGAGACTTCCTCGAGACATCCTCATGCTAGACATCCGCCTGGGCGACCTGGACACGTGAAAACAAGCCTCTGGTTCGAGAGATCCTCAACAAATCCTCATGCTAGACATCTGTCTGGGCAACCTGGAGGCGTGAAACGAAGCGTCTCGCTCGAGACATCCTCAAAACCTGGGCACGTGAAAACAAGCATTTCACTTGAGAGATCCTCTGAATTCAGGTCCCCAGGAGAGGACAATCTATAACACAAAACAATAATTTCGCTCGAGACATCCTCAACACGTTCTGAAACAAAACAAGCGTTTTGCTCGAGACATCCTCAAATTTAAATTCGCCGGCCCTACGCGATCTCGTTATTTATCGCAAAAGAAATTCGCCGGCCCTACAGCCGTCAGATCCGGGGGCAAACCCCAAAGAGAACCCATGGCCTGTGCCCTTTCCGGGAAAATTGCGTGGCGCAGCTAACAATTCATCAACACAAGGGTGGAGACATAAGAAACCCCGGCCAAAATCTAAAACTGCATTGCACAAGCGATCCGCCTCTTGATTCTGATGGCGGGGCCGCCGCAAGACCGGAGCCTCGATCGGATCCGGCGGTCTCCACCCTTCGGTCACGCACTGTAGCAAACAGTCCGCTAGAGGCGAAAGTTGGGTGAGACGCTCCCACTGGACGAACGACGATCCACTGAAGGCCTGCGCCAAGGCTTCGTTATCGACAACAAACCGGAAAAATTGAGTCGAGTCGGAGGGATCAGGCCAGGACGAATCGGAGGGAAGGAGAGGAGGAATGATGTCAAAGAACAAGCGGCCCTCAGAAGTGAAAAACGTGTCATCCCCGACGTCCCAGTCGCCAGTTATAATATATGTATATACATACATATTGATTGGCCGAGGATGGGAGCCGCAAGTTATGCCAGTCACAAAAGAAAACGCGTTACGACGCGACTCGACCGACGATTCGCCCAGTCGAAGCCCGAGCAGCACCATCAGCTATATGGTGGCTCTTTCCCGCTCTCTGGGCGGCGCGCCTGAGCTGCTGGTCAGCAGCGTCCAGGCGGGCAACCTCGGAGGCTGGGAGGGGCGAGCAGTTCTGCAGAATCCAATCACGGCACCTTGGGCGACGCGCGTCGGAGACGTGTGCGAGGAGACGAAGGCGCTGCCGGAAGTCTGTTTGGCAGCACGGACACGTGGCATCAGGCAGATATGTGCGAATAACTGCTCGCTCACCGTGCTTAGCTCGCCTATGGCTGCGGAGTGCACGGTCGGAGGAAAACGACAGCTCACACGCTGTGCATTTCCAGACCAAGGCTGAGGAGGGTGTGGTCGAGGGAGCCTCGGGGTCACACACAGACTCAACAAACGACAGCTGGCTGACAAGATGGCTCCACAACTTCTCATCCTGCAACAATCGATCCCACTGCGCGGGGTCTTCTGTCGGGGACGGGAAGCTAGATGGGCCACCTGCCCCGGCGCCATTGGCGGCAGTCGCGGGGAGCACGAGCTTCTGTATCCGCCGGCCCCCTTGTGGGGCCACCAGGCTGTAGGCGCGGGGTTCGCAGCCTCCTGTACCAGTTGTAGCTTGTAGTTTCCAGTTACAGTTCTGCTTCTTGCTGGTTACTGTAACTAGTTGATTGTTCTCCTTCTTGCTGGTTACTGTAACTAGTTGATTGACCGCGCGAGGGGGGGGATGCGTCCCCTGGGCGCGTTGTCTGAATTGCTGGGGGGGCTCGAAATCGCCACCCCTCACGCAGATCCGCGGGGTCAGGGTCCAAAAACACATGGGATTTGCCACATTTCTGAAATTCGGTGCCACCCCTCACGCAGATCCGCGGGGTCAGGGTCCAAAAACACATGGGATTTGCCACATTTCTGAAATTCGGTGCCACCCCTCACGCAGATCCGCGGGGTCAGGGTCCAAAAACACAGGGATTTGCCACATTTCTGAAATTCGGTGCCACCCCTCACGCAGATCCGCGGGGTCAGGGTCCAAAAACACATGGGATTTGCCACATTTCTGAAATTCGGTGCCACCCCTCACGCAGATCCGCGGGGTCAGGGTCCAAAAACACAGGGGATTTGCCACATTTCTGAAATTCGGTGCCACCCCTCACGCAGATCCGCGGGGTCAGGGTCCAAAAACACATGGGATTTGCCACATTTCTGAAATTCGGTGCCACCCCTCACGCAGATCCGCGGGGTCAGGGTCCAACATGATCGACCCACGAACCCGGAAAGGAATATAGAACTGTAACGCATGGCAGCGTTTTCAAAGACACCTGATTGGGTGACGGGCAAATGCAATGCTGAGTGTATCGATCTTGATGTACCCTGCCGAGGGCTGTGCTGTGCTGCGCCGTGCTGAATTGCGATGTGCCATGGCGCGACTGTGCTCTATAGCGTCGTGGATCGAGTCCTCCTTTGCATCCGAGTCCTGACCGAACTGATCTGGATCGTAAGCTCGAGCTGCCTGAACACATAGTAGCTGCCCCAGAGCTAATGGACAGGGGAACATGCCAGGAGGACGCGCCGCGAAACGTCCCAAGGGATGCGCCAGGCGACGTGCCAGGGGACGCGCCATGGGGTCGCACCGTAGGACGTGCCAAGGGGACGCGCTACGGAACGTGCCAATGGATGTGCCACGGAATGTGCCAGGGACGCGCCACGCGACGTGCCAGGGGGACTCGCCAAGGGACGCCCCACGAAACGTGCCAAGGAACGTGCCAAATTGCAATGCTGAGGTATCGATCTTGATGTACCGTGCCGAGGGCTGTGCTGTGCTGCACCGTGCTGAATTGCGATGTGCCATGCCGCGGTTGTGCTCTATAGCGTCGTGGATCGAGTCCTCCTTTGCATCCGAGTCCTGACCGAACTGATCTGGATCTTAAGCTCGAGCTGCCTGAAGCACATAGTAGCTCTGCCCCAGAGCTAATTGACAAGGGGAACATGCCAGGAGGACGCGCCGCGAAACGTCCCAAGGGATGCGCCAGGCGACGTGCCAGGGGACGTGCCATGGGGTCGCACCGCGGGACGTGCCAAGGGGACGCGCTACTGAACGTGCTGGGGACAAGCGTTTCGCTCGAGACATCCTATCAAAATCATCAGAATTCCTACGCGCGGGACCCACGCGCGAGACATCCTCGGAATTCCTGCGAGCGGGACACGAAAACAAGCATTTCGCCTGAGACATCCTCTGAATTCTGGCCCCCCACGAGGCCCCCGCTCGAGACATCCTCCAATTTTGCAAAACCAGCATTTCGCTCGAGACATCCTCAACAAATTATGAAAAACAAGCGTTTCGCTCGAGAAATCCTGTCAAAACCCCAAGAAATCAAAAATCCTGCGCGCGGGACGCGGCACGCGCGAGACATCCTCGGAATTCCTGCGCGAGGAGCGCTTTTCCGTGTCGCGGTCGGCTCTGCAAAACCAGCGTTTCGCTCGAGACATCCTCAACAAATTCTGAAACCAAGCGTTTCGCTCGAGACATCCCCAACTATGCAAAACCAGCGTTTCGCTCGAGACATCCTCAACAAATTCTGAAAAACAAGCGTTTCGCTCGAGAAATCCTCAAAAATAATTCCGCCGGCCCTACTCCCGCACTTAATTTATCGCAGAATAATTTCGCCGGCCCAAGTCGCAGGGGGGCCGGGGGGTTAACCTACTAAAAGAGAACCCTGGGCCCGCGCCCTTTCCGGGAACATGATCGACCCACGAACCCGGAAAGGAATATAGAAATGTAAGGCATTGCAACATTTCAAAGACACCTGATTGGGCGACGGGCACATGCAATGCTGAATGTATCGATGATGATGTACTGTGCCGAGGGCTGTGCTGTGCTACGCCGTGCTGAACTGCGATGTGCCATGCCGCGATTGTGCTCTATATAGCGTTGTGGATCGAGTCCTCCCTGGCATCCGAGTCCTCACCGAACTGATCTGGAGCGTAAGCTCGAGCTGCCTGAGCAGATGGTAGCTGCCCCAGAACTAATCGACAGAGGGAACATGCCAGGAGGACGCGCCGCGAACGTCCCAAGGGACGCGCCAGGCGACGTGCCAGGGGACGTGCCATGGGCACGCACCGCGGGACGTGCCAAGGGGACGCGCTACGGAACGTGCCAATGGACGTGCCGAGGGACGTGCCAGGGGACGCGCCGCGCGACGTGCCAGGTGGACTCGCCACGGAACGCGCCAAGGAACGTGCCAAGGTGCATAGTTGAGTGTATCGATCTTGATGTACCGTGCCGACGGCTGTGCTGTGCTGGGCCGTGCTGAACTGCGATGTGCCATGCCGCGATTGTGCTCTATATAGCGTTGTGGATCGAGTCCTCCCTGGCATCCGAGTCCTCACCGAACTGATCTGGATCGTAAGCTCGAGCTGCCTGAGCAGATGGTAGCTGCCCCAGAACTAATCGACAGAGGGAACATGCCAGGAGGACGCGCCGCGGAACGTCCCAAGGGACGCGCCAGGCGACGTGCCAGGGGACGTGCCATGGGCACGCACCGCGGGACGTGCCAAGGGGACGCGCTACGGAACGTGCCAATGGACGTGCACCGCGCGACGTGCCAGGGGGACTCGCCACGGGACGCTCCGCGGAACGTGCCAGACAACATGCCAGGCTGCAATGCTAAGGGTATCGATATTGATGTACCGTGCCGAGGGCTGTGCTGTGCCTGGGCGACCTGGACACGTGAAAACACGCGTTTCGTTCAAGACGTTGTCAGCACATCCTCATGCTAGACATCCGCCTGGGCGACCTGGACACGTGCAAACAAGCGACTCGCTCGAGACATCCTCAACAAATGCTCATGCTAGGCATCGAGCTGGGCGACCTGGACACGTGAAAACAAGCCTCTGGTTCGAGACATCCTCAACAAATCCTCATGCTAGACATCTGTCTGGGCCACCAGGAGGCGTGAAACCAAGCGTCTCGCTCGAGACATCCTCAAGACCTGGGCACGTGAAACCAAGCAATCCACTTGAGAGATCCTCAGAATTCAGGTCCCCAGGAGAGACCAATCTATAATACAAAACAAGCGTTTCGCTCGAGACATCCTCAACACCTTCTGAACATGATCGACCCACGAACCCGGAAAGGAATATTGAAATGTAACGCATGGCAACGTTTTCAAAGACAACTGATTGGGTGACGGGCACATGCAATGCTGAGTGTATCGAGCTTGATGTACCCTGCCGAGGGCTGTGCTGTGCTGCACCGTGCTGAATTGCGATGTGCCATGGCGCGATTGTGCTCTATAGCGTCGTGGATCGAGTCCTCCTTTGCATCCGAGTCCTGACCGAACTGATCTGGATCTTAAGCTCGAGCTGCCTGAACACATAGTAGCTGCCCAAGAGCTAATGGACAGGGGAACATGCCAGGAGGACGCGCCGCGAAACGTCCCAAGGGATGGCGCCAGGCGGCGTGCCAGGGGACGTGCCATGGGGTCGCACCGTGGGACGTGCCAAGGGGACGCGCTACGGAACGTGCCAATGGATGTGCCAAGGGACGTGCCAGGGGACGCGCCACGCAACGTGCTAGGGGGACTCGCCAAGGGACGCCCCACGGAACGTGCCAAGGAACGTGCCAAGTTGCAATGCTGAGTGTATCGATCTTGATGTACCGTGCCGAAACCTGTCCTGTGCTGCGCCGTGCTGAATTGCGATGTGCCATGCCGCGATTGTGCTCTAGCTTCGTGGATCGAGTCCTCCTTTGCATCCGAGTCCTGACCGAACTGATCTGGATCTTAAGCTCGAGCTGCCTGAACACATAGTAGCTGCCCGAGAACTAATTGACAAGGGGACATGCCAGGAGGACGCGACGCGGAACGTCTCAAGGGACCCGCCAAGCAACGTGCCAAGGGACGTGCCATGGGGTCGCACCGCGGGACGTGCCACGGGGACGCGCTACGGAACGTGCTGGGGACAAGCGTTTCGCTCGAGACATCCTGCCAACATCCTCAGAATTCCTGCGCGCGGGACGCGGCACGCGCGAGACATCCTCGGAATTCTTGCGAGCGGGACGTGAAAACAAGCATTTCGCCTGAGACATCCTCTGAATTCTGGACCCCCACGAGGCCCCCCACGAGGCCCCCGCTCGAGACATCCCCCAATTTTGCAAAACCAGCGTTTCGCTCGAAACGTCTTCAACAAATTATGAAAGACAAGCATTTCGCTCGAGACATCCTGCCAAAATTCAAGGAAATCCTAGCAAAACAAACGAATTAGTCGAGACATCCTCGAAATTCCTGCGCGCGGGACGCGGCACGCGCGAAACATCATCGGAATTCCTGCGCGCGGGGTGCTTTTCCGCGTCGCGGTCGGCTCTGCAAAACCAGCGTTTCGCTCGAGACATCCTCAACAAATTCTGAAAACAAGCGTTTCGCTCGAGACGTCCCCAACTCTGCAAAACCAGCGTTTCGCTCGAGACATCCTCAACAAATTCTGAAAAACAAGCGTTTCGCTAGGGACATCCTCAAAAACATGATGGACCCACGAACCCGGAAAGGGATATA